ATGGCTATCATGGCTGGGGTCCGGTCCTCCTCTATGCAGTTATTGTGGAATGGTGAGGTTTGCGAGGAATTCACGCCTTCGAGGGGTGTCCGTCAAGGGGACTCTATCTCTCCGTACCTTTTTGTCCTTTGCATGGAACGGTTGGCTCAACTGATTGGTGTCCAGATTGCCGGTCACCGGTGGCGGCCCATCTCGGTAGGGCGGGGGACCGTGTCGGTACCTTTCCTGATGTTTGCTGATGACCTCATGCTATTCTTGGAGGCTACCGACGACCAGGTCCGGGTGTTACAGGACGTCATGGGCCTTTTTTGTGACCCTTCGGGCTTCAAAATTAGCCATGAGAAGACTCAAGTCTTTTTTTCCCACAATGTCGCGAGGGTCGAGCAGGTGCGCCTTGCGGGCTTGCTTGGATTCAAGCTCACTGATAATCTCGGAAAATATCTTGGGATGCCGATACTACATGGCCGTGTGAATAAAAATACGTATGCCCACATACTGGAAACTGCTGAAGCTCGTCTTGCGGGCTGGCGCATGCGGTCACTTTCAATGGCGGGAAGGGTCACCTTAACTCAGTCTGTCTTAAGTGCGTTGTCGTATTATGCTATGCAGACCTGTAGGCTTCCATATGCAATTACGGATGGCCTTCAGAAGCGTTGTCGCGCCTTTGTCTGGGGAGGGTCCGAGTCACAGCGAAAGTTGCACCTGGTTGTCTGGCCGGACGTTTGTCGGCCCAAAGCGGTGGGGGGTCTCGGCTTGAAAGACCTCCGTCGTATGAATATTGCCCTACTGATGAAACTTGGTTGGGGGCTTTTAACGAAGCCCGAGGCTCTCTGGGTTCGTGTACTACGAGCTAAATACAACATCTCCCCTATGACGGATGTGGCTGTTCTTTCATGTCGCAAGCAATCGCCGCTAATACGAGCCCTTGTTTCGGTGTGGCCACATGTCTCGCAAGGGGTCCGGTGGGTTATTGGTGATGGTCGAACAGCCCGATTCTGGTCCGACCCGTGGCTGGGTACGACTGGTCCGTTGCGAGCCCTTCTTCGTCACGAGATGCTTGAGCCTGACTTAAATCTGAAAGTGGCGGACATGGTGAACGAGCATGGGGATTGGCGATGGGAGTCGTTTCAAGGGCTGCTCCCCTCTTCTGCGCTCCTACGCATAGCCGCCACACTTCCTCCACGTGTGTCCGCCGGCGCTGATCAACTGTCCTGGGGGCCGGCTCCTGATGGTCGCTTTTCGACTAAATCTGCATACGAGTTGCTCTCACAGCTTATGTGTACGCCATTTTCTCCTATCTGGAAGATTATTTGGCGCGTCATGGTGCCCCAACGCGTCCGCAATTTCTTATGGATTGCGAGCAATGACCGGCTGCTTACAAATGTGGAGAGGGTGCGCCGTCATATTGCGTCCTCTGTCGGGTGCGACTTCTGCGGGCAGCGGGAAACGACTCTTCACGTGTTACGAGACTGTCATTTTATTGGTGATTTATGGAGAGAACTGCTCCCGGCTAGTCATGTGGCAGATTTTTTTCGAGTGGCCCCTTCAGATGTGGCTTGTGTCTAATCTCTCCAAGGTCCGGCTGGGGCCTTACATTAATTGGGGCAGTTTATTTGCTATAGTGCTTTGGAGGGCGTGGGCCTGGCGCAATGACCGTGTGTTCAACGGTCGTTCTCTTGACGGAGCCACGCGAAGGGCGGATGTGTTGCACCGGCTGGAAAGCTATATGACCTCGACCCGGGCTGTCTCTCGGGCCGGTGCGATTTCCCCAAGGTATGACACATGCTTCATCTCTTGGAACCCACCAGAATCGGGATGGTTTAAAGTTAATACCGATGGAGCGTTCGATTATTCGTCGGGGCTAAGCAGTGTTGGAGGGCTTATTCATGATTCTAATGGTGGGTGGATTGTGGGTTTCCTCATGCATATAGGTTATTGCACCATTACCGGGTCGGAGCTTTGGGGTCTTTTCCAGGGACTGCAACTTGCGTGGGCTCACGGTTGCCGCCGAGTTCTTGTAGAAGTTGACAGCCTGAGTGTTGTGCAATTGGTCCTCGGTGATAGTGTTGTCGCCGGCGTCCACGGTGCTTTGGTCCAGGCCGTTCGATTGCTGCTTCAGAAGGACTGGAATGTTCGACTATATCATGTGCACAGAGAGGCCAACTTTGTGGCTGATCATTTGGCGGGCTTAGCGTCTACTTTCCCGGTCGGGTTCCATGAATTAGCTGCTCCTCCCCCTAGTGTGGGGGTTTGGCTCGAGCATGACATCATTGGGGTTTCCTACCCCCGCCGAGTCTTAGTTTAGCATTTAGGCCTCTGGCCTCCTTCATTGTACCAAAAAAAAGAAAATGTGTCATCTACGACAAAAATTGGATCTATCACATACTGGGCCCAGCTTATATAAAAGATCAGCCCAAGAAGTTACACCACCGAATTTGGGCCAGTCTACATCTAAACTTAGATACCGATCTACTGGCCATTACCTTCGGCCGAAGATTCTCGATCTCTCTAAAGTGTGAACAAGAAACAAACTGATAAAATGACCGTCCAGTCAGTTCCATCATCAGAAGACATATTTTTTGCATGAGAACGCGTGTCACTCCCTTACACCCTTAGCTGGCTAATAGTAATGATGAATTTTCTATTTTTTCTTAAAAAATTTAGCTCATTAGGCTCCTAAGAGGAACACGATCAAAATTCTCAAGAGAGTCATTAAAAAAAATACCCACTATTTCGTCTATCTTTTAGTCGAAATTTGATGCACAAATCAGTAATTGCATACTATGACATGTTAGATTACAACGACAAGGTACAAATTATATTATTATAAATGTTCAAAGTTAATAGAAACTTTAGTACTATAAAGTAAAAAGTAACGGTTTTGGAGTATGGAAAGTTTGCCATGTAGGTAAAATATGTTAGGTAAAATTTAATGTTTAGCTAGCAATTATATATATATATATATATATTTTGCATGATATTTGTAAAGTAAAAAATAACAATATTTTGTTTCTCATTTTTGCAAGAATAAATTACAATTTAAGGAGCTGATGAAATTATAGTAGTGTTGTTAGTGTATTTGTTCATGTTAAGAAAAAAGTGTCGTCTACGACAAAAATTAGATTTATCACATATTGGGCCCAACTTATGCAAAGGACGAGCCCAAGAAGTTAACACCACCAAACCTGTGCCAGCCTACATCTAAACATGGATGCCGATCTGCTGGCCATTACCTTCTGTTTGAAGATTGTTGATCTCGAACAAGAATGGACAAACTAAACTGATAAGTTGACCTTCAAGTCAGTCCCATCATCAAAAGACGTATTTTTTGTATCGACACCCCTAGGTGGCTAATAGTAATGATGTATTTTCTACTTTTTCTTAATAAATTCAAATCTTGAGGCTCCTAAGAGGAACACGATCAGAATTCTCAAGAGAGTCCTTAAAAAAATATCCACTATTTCGTCTTTCTTTAAATCGATCTATTATCCCTGATCGATGATCTAGTTATCTTTATATTTAGTTTGTTAGTATATCGACATGTCATGAAACACATTAATTCCCCTATAAGTTTTGCAATAATCCACATAATTGCACCCTTAAGCCGCTCTATTTAGGACATCGTCAACATTATTTAAATACAAATTCAAAAGGCTTAATTCCACATAAAATCCTCACTTTTTGTGTAGTCGCAAATAAAACTCAACTTTTTATCTTTGCAAATAAATACCAAGATTTTATTATGTGTTGCAAATATGTCTCAAAACCATTTTCCGTCAAATGCTTGTTGACGTGTTCGATCAGAAATATTACGTGACACTTATGAGGCTTGTGTGGCATCAATCTTTGAAACTCCTCACCATGTTTTTGCCACATCATATGCCAACAAATTAAACAAAATTAGAGTTTAGTACCAATTGAAAAAAATAGGATTTTATCACTATATTTTTTGCTCCATAATCTTCATAACAATCGAGTTCTTCTCCCCCAATTGAAAAAAAAAAAAAAATTGCAGCAATTCTTCTCTTCTCCACGGCGCAACTCTTCACCCCAAAAATCGAGTTCACCTCCAACATTCTGAATACATTTACGAGCTCACTCCCAAATTCTAAAAAATTGGGCAGAGGGCAATTTTTGAGTGATTTTCTATGCGATTTTAGTGTTTTGATCGGACACGCCAGCAAGACTGGCCGGAAAATGGTTTTGAGACAAACTTGAAACACATAATAAAAATTTGTTATTTATTTGCAACGATAAAAAAATTGAGTTTTATTTACAATTACACAAAAGATGATGATTTTATGTGCAATTAAACCAATTTAAAATTCTACTCAGTCTTCAACTCAATAATTTTATTTAAAATCTATTAACTTTAACTCAAAATCCTATCAGAATCCAACTTTATTTAAAATTTATTCACCTTAAGTGAAAATCCAATCAAAATTGGTTTTAATTTATATCCAACACCACCCCCCCACTTCAAAATGAAAAATGGAAAAAAATCAAATAAAGACAAGAAATTCCCATGTGAGAAGAGAAAATCTCGATCTGTTACATTGAATCCACCGTGAAGATCGGATCGGAACATGATCACAAGCTGGTCAACAAGAAGAGAAGGCCATATCTAAACCGGAAAAAGATAAAATTATTTTACTTAAAATAGCTCCACCACAGACACATCGGTGAAGGGCAAAAGATATTTCATATTGTTTTCAAACGGCGGAAAAGGAATACAGGCAACAAGGTCCTGCCACGTGTCCATGAAAATCTTCACCATTTGTGCAGCTTCTGAGAATGAGATTGGCTCCAAACTCTTCTAGCCCCACACATGCGCTCTCTCTCTCTCTCTCTCTCTCTCTCTCTCTCACACACACACACACAAACACACAGTTTCTTTACCTGCCTGAGTTTGCCTCAGATTGAAACTGAGGAGAAATAAAGAAGCACAAGCAAGCTTCCTCCTTTGAAAAGATTCCAGCTTTATTTCAATCTGAACAAAAATGAGCTCATCAGCCGTGCTCTACAACCCAATCAGTTTCTCATCTGTAGCAATAGTTTCAAGAACCCATTTCCCCTTTCTAATTCCCAAGGATTCCCAAAAACCCCAAATCAGAAACCAGGAAAACGGGCCGATTTTCAAGAAACTCAGCCGGGCCGTGAGGGCGGGCTTAGCCGGAGCTCCGGGAAAATCCGGGCAGGCCTTAGCCGGAGAGTACTCAAACCCGCCGGCCCAAAAGAAGCTTCGGGTCTTGGTGGCCGGCGGTGGGATCGGGGGGCTGGTTTTCGCGCTGGCGGCGAAAAGGAAAGGTTTTGAGGTGGTTGTGTTTGAGAAGGACTTGAGCGCCATTAGAGGGGAAGGTCAGTACAGGGGCCCGATTCAGATTCAGAGCAATGCTCTGGCTGCTTTGGAGGCCATTGATATGGAGGTTGCTGAGGAGGTTATGTGCGCTGGGTGCATAACTGGCGACAGGATTAATGGCTTGGTTGATGGAATTTCTGGAAATTGGTATTTTCTTTTATAAACCATTAGTTAGTTGACATGGCTGAATATTTGTGGCTGGATCCTTGTGTTTATTGGAATTTCTTCCTGATTATGGGAAATGCTAGAGTCCCGTTACGAACCATTCCGTCGGGATTTGTAACCGTTAGATCATCATGTAACAAGTTGATCTAACGGTTACGAACCGTCGTGGATAGTTGATTTAACCGTTGAACTAACTGTTGTGATCAGAGTTTGATTGTTTAAATTCTACTGATGTGAATTAGCCAATTAGGTGAGAGTACTTGGAGGTGGCTAATTCAACCCTACTACTGAGGACAAAATACAATTCAATTGAATGATTCTACCTGAGCTTATTGTGCTATACCTGATTCACAAGACCTTGGATAAAACATAAAATTGCATTTATTGCATAAACTGACATATTTTTAACCATTTTTTTTTTTTTTTTTTTGTCCTTTTTGCCTTAACCATTTTGTTTATAAGCCTGCATGTTAAACTAGCTGTTTCATACTTCTGGATCGAATCCTGTATGTAATTCAATGACAAAGAGTATATATTTGTCGATAATTTACCAGGTACGTCAAGTTCGATACATTCACTCCTGCAGCCGAACGTGGGCTCCCAGTCACCCGAGTTATTAGCCGCATGACTTTGCAGCAAATCCTTGCCCGTGCGGTTGGCTCAGATACTATTATGAACGAAAGCAATGTAGTTGACTTCAACGATGATGGTCAAAAGGTAGTATTTGCTTTTCCTTTTCCGTTTCCTGCTTCTTTTTCTTTCCACTTTACCCTGAAATAAGAGTATTATGTATGATACAAATCTTCTTTTGTTCTGTAAATTCAGGTTTCGGTTAAACTTGAAGACGGTCAATGTTTTGAAGGAGATCTTCTTGTTGGGGCTGATGGGATATGGTCAAAGGTACTTTCTTTTTTAAGATTTCAATATTACCTCCATTAGATGAAATTTAGGCCAAGTTAGTCCTGCCATTACCATTTACCTTCAACCGTGCAACCGATGTATTTCATATAGGTAAGAAAGAATTTGTTCGGTCAAACTGAAGCCGTATACTCTGGCTACACTTGCTACACAGGAATTTGTGATTTTGTTCCTGCTGACATCAAGACAGTTGGGTATGTTAACTGGACTATAACTCATCACACTTGAACATTATTTCTATTATTATCAAGAGAGATTTTTTCCCCTTATAATATGTGGGATTCATGCAATTATTAATTCAATCACAAGGTATCGAGTATTCTTGGGCCACAAACAATACTTTGTTTCCTCAGACGTGGGCGGGGGGAAAATGCAGTGGTACGCATTTTACAACGAGTCACCTGGTGGAGTTGATAAGCCTAATGGTAACATTTAGTCCGATAATTGCATTATGGCCCCGAAAGGTATAATTTTGATGATTGACTAATATATGATTATTTATTTGTCTAATTTTGCAGGTAAAAAGGAGAGGCTGTTAAAGTTATTCGGAGGTTGGTGTGATAATGTTTTGGATCTATTAGCCGCAACCGATGAAGATGCCATTCTTCGTCGTGACATATATGACCGGACTCCAATATTTACATGGGGAAAGGGTCGTGTGACGTTGTTGGGTGACTCGGTTCATGCTATGCAGCCAAATTTGGGTCAAGGTGGATGCATGGCTATTGAGGTTGGTCTCAAATTTTAATTGTATTTTATTTTATCTGGGTATTTTACCCTATTTGTCAGTTTTCATTAATCTGATGCTTGCAGGATGGGTACCAATTGGCATTGGAACTCGATAAAGCTTGGAAGCAAAGCATCAAGTCGGGAAGACCGATTGATGTAGTCTCCTCTTTGAAGAGGTATGTTTGAATCTTTTTTTTTTTAATCAACTAGCTCGATAAAAGTTTTAAAGTTGGCCTGTAAATGAATCAAACCAAATATAAGAAAAGCATTCTAGCATAATAAAAATTTTATCAACTTCCGTCTCCTTTTTTTTTCTTTCTCAAAATGTAGATTTTAGGTGGTTCACTTTCTTGTGATCTGCTTTATTCAGTTACGAGAATGCTCGAAAGTTACGCGTTGCTATCATTCACGGGCTAGCAAGGATGGCTGCATTAATGGCATCAACTTACAAGGCATATCTAGGTGTGGGACTCGGCCCACTATCGGTAAGACTTTGCTGTTATTAAATTTCATATTCGAACGGTAAAAGAGTTGGCAAATCGAAGTTCCTTTGCCAAAGACTGAAGTCCGTGATCTTTTTTTTTTTTTTTTGGTAGTTCTTGACTAAATTTAGAATACCACATCCGGGAAGAGTTGGGGGAAGGATTTTTATCGACATTGGTATGCCCTTGATGCTAAGCTGGGTTCTTGGTGGTAACGGGTGAGTTTGATTCTTATTTTTTCTGTTTCTTCGAAAAAAATATCCGCGCTAATTTTTTTTTTTTTAAAAGATCAAAATCTCAAGTATTGAATATATATCCTCTGCAGTTCGAAACTCGAAGGAAGAACACTACACTGTCGACTTTCTGACAAAGTATGTTAAACCACAGAATATTTTTTTCTTCTTTTGTTTTAAATATGCAATAGCTATATATATTAGTTCAAGAGTTTGAACTTGTATTATTATGTGTATGAAGGCCAGTGACCAGTTAAGGACATGGTTTGCGGATGATGATGCTCTCGAGCGAGCTCTTGATGCGGAGTGAGTATTTAATCTTGCCTTCGAACTCATAAGATTTGATTTGCTCACCATTTTTAATGTCATTTGATTATGTAAAGATATAATTCAATCTCACTCTTCTTTGTGTAGTTGGTTTTTATTTCCGATTGGAGATTCGACGACAGCATCTGAAACTATATTCCTACGTCGAGACGAGAAGAAACCCTATGTAATTGGGTATGCTATCATTTAATTCTTTTAACCTAAGTCGATACCGACTTATATAGGTGTCGGTACATAACAATTTTCTAATTTTTTTTTTCCCGTATCTTAGGAGTGTACCACATGCAAGCTTTCCTGGATTGTCGATAGCTATACCGTCACCTGAGGTGAGATATAACTCGTCACTTTTTTTTTTGTAATTTCTTTTTTGGATGAATTTAGCTGGAATAGCATTTTTACTCAATAGATGTGTTACGATTCCTCAGGTCTCGAAAACGCATGCTCGGATAAGTTACAAAGACGGAGCCTTTTTCGTGACCGATTTGAGGAGTGAGCATGGTACCTGGATAACAGAGTGAGTTTCTCAAAAAATAAAAATAAAAAAATTGCTCTTTACTTTTATTTTTATCATTATCTGTGACATTGACTTGTAAAATGGATCTGCAATTTTGCAGTAACGAAGGCAGAAGGCATCGTGTAACCCCCAATCTCCCTACCCGTTTTCACCCTACGGATACCATTGAGTTTGGGTCGGATAAGAAGGTTCGGTTTTTTGCCTCGTTATCTTCAACTTATGGGGCACCATTTGAAATCTTTTGTTTAGCTATATTTTGCAGTAATTTTATTACTTTTTTCAAATACTTGTTACGTGCAGGCAGCCTTCCGTGTGAAGGCTATGAAATTCCCGCCAAAGACAACAAAGAACAAGGATGACAATGAAGTTCTGCAAACAGTATAGCATATACGGGCCGGGCCACATAATCATACACGATTCGATCAAGTTCAGAAAAAATTAAGGAAACTTGTACAGGTTTGTCTGGAAATTTTGTTTTACTGCAGGGATAAAGAACACAAATGGCATGTCACTGTAATTTTCTGATTCTGATTATATTATCTATACTATTATAAAAGAGCTAATGAATCTGTAAAAATATGTTTTGCCTAAAATAACCTTATTTTATGATTTCTATAATGGCAACTTTGTAATTTAATAATGTTAAAGGGTTTTATAATGGTAACATTTTAATTTAATAGTGTTAAAGGCGAAAAACGTGTGGGCCCAGGTTATGTGAAATTGGGAACTTCCCGTAGACAATAGGGTGCAAGAATTGGGGATGACAAAAATCATATACAAAGATAATGTTGCTAGCTATATTTTTTATTAGCAGGTGATGAAATATGCTTTTCCGAATTGGGCTCCCTAATAGGATTATGTTGCTAATATATTTTCTATACAATATTTGTAAACACACTTAATTAATAACAAAAATTACACAATAAAAATTTTAATGTTTAAGAAGGAATAAAAAAAATGTTATATTGCAATGAATAAAATTTCATTGGTTACTCCACCAGAGATTACATTGAAATTTAGTGGATTTAATGATTTCAATTATCATTATTTATTGTTGTGTGAATTTTCATTGAATTTTTTATCCTGTTTTAATCGTTGGAAAACCTGTCGATTGAATTATAAAAGTTTCAATGAAAGTTCAATTAGAAAGCTAATTGCATTGGCGGATCCAAAATAATTTTATAATGGATATCCTATTTAGTTAATTAAAAATGTATATCATCAAATTAACATAATGTCCTTACAATATATAAATTATACTTTCATTATTAATCATCTTTCACAATTGCAATACATTTTTAAAACATTAGTACGATCACAATAAGTTAAAAAATATTTAATAAAAAAAGGCATAATTGTTCCCATAGAGATAAAATAATGAGTGATTTCTGAAAAAAAGAACATGAACTAACAATTTTTTTTTTCCGAAATGATAGATAGAACTAACAAAAGCTACTACATAAAAATTTTAATGTTTATGAAGGGATACAAAAAAAAAAATTGCTATATTGAAATAAAAAATCTGAAGCCATGTATTGGCTGATCCAAAATAATTTCATAATAGGGACACTATTTAGTTAATTAAAAATGTATATCATAAAATTAACATAATGTCGTTACAATATATAAATTATACTTTCATAGTTTATCATCTTTCACATATGAAATACATTTGTAACACATTAAGACAATCACAATAAGTTAAAAATATTTAATAAAAAAGGCATAATTGTTCTCAATTCAACATAAGAAAATCATTGAAATAATATATTTCTTTATGAACAAAAATTTTATGTTGCAACATAGTTGGTTCGACAATATAATTGATGAATTTAAAAATTATAATATTTTAGTAAAATATTAATAAAAAATATAATTATATAGAATATAAAGATATACAAATTATTGATTTATAATAAAATATATGACCCAAAACATTATGTACTTGATTTTATGCATTTTTAACAAAAAAAGATATACACACACATATATAAATATATTAAAACATATAATATTAAAAATATTTGTTACCTTTTTTATATGTAATATATCACATTATTTCTTTCAAATGATGTTTAATTTGACCAATTTGTTGTAAATAAAATTAAAATAATATACTTATTTTTATCAATGTAAAATAATATAGTATTTATAATATTTGAATATATTAATTGCATCCTAATATATAAGATATTTTGATTACAACGTCATTATATAAAGTACGTACAAAAAAATGACGTAATGCATAAAAATGTGCTCTAATACTTTTAACAAATAAATAGTTTCCGTGAATAGAATAAGAAACAAATAAAACAATAGTAATTTAATAGAAAAAGAAAAGGTTTGAATTTTCTTAGAGAAATGTGAATACTAATATCTACAAACATAATTCTTTTAAAATTACTATTTTACTTTTTGTTAGTGTGTAAATTAATGAACTCTGTAAGAAATTAGTTCTCATAAATAATGATCTATCAAGAATTTTAAATTACTAAAAATATAAAACTTTGTGATACATAACGTAAATTTTAATAATAAGTTCGTAATAATAAAGTTCACAAAGAGACTAAGAGTATCATAATATAATAAAATTCCAATTCTTCTCTTCTTAAATATTTTAATGACATGCTTTTAAATATTGTCTCTTTGTTTTGTTTATTTTGTTTTATTATTATTATTATTGTTATTTTTTGTCCAAGAAAGAATAATTATCTTGAATATTCGAAGCATAATGTATGATGTAAAAAAATTAGACAATAAAAACATTACAGTAGTTATTAGTCACATAAGTACTGGAAATTAAACGAATGTGAAATATATTATGATAAACAGCGCTAAAATCACTGCAACAATCAAGATGGTCAATAATTTGCAAACACTAAATTATATAGTTCGTTTGTCTTCCAAATAAATAACATTGAGAAAAAAAAAAATGTCGAAGTCTGATCAAACCATTCTTGAATGTTTGAATGAAATTGTCCTCTTTTTTTTTTATAGAAATATTTATAATCTCATTGTGTATTTTGGTCGAATATATGTGCAATTACTTTATAGTACGTACCAATGTGATGATTTCAAAAAGTAATTTAGTGTCTCGTGAGAAGTACATGTAATGAAGATTTTGGAAAGTCAACTTTTATTTGGAGATGAAATTCATTCTCACCTCCTGTGGCAATGCCTCCATTGGGTAGGGGTACCAATTTGTCAATATGGACACAATAATGAAGTAGTTTATATAATAATAACAAAAATATCAACAGTTTAATGATACGATTAGTTATTTTATAAAGATATTCATGGACGGTTAGTAGAAATACCTTATAAAGAAAATACAATCATTAAATTTGACTATATGTTTGACCAAAATATTTATAAGTGTTTGAATAGAGTAGACGTTTTGTCAAATGAATTAAGAAGAATTTTGCAATACTATTGATGTACTGAGCTCCAACAAGTTTGAATGTATTTTATGAAAACGTCAAAACCAAAATGAAAGAAATTACTTTTTAATCACCTAGCATAATTAAATAAAATTACTAATGCATCTATGATATACATTGGTACTTATTTAATTATTTTGTGTTTTATTTTTATTAGGACTATATTTTTTTGGGGTTGTAATATGTTATTTTATTCTTTTCATATTAGGACATCATTAATTTATGTACAAAAAACATTAGAAGCTCATTTATTCTATATTTCACTTCGTTCCTACAGTGATATGTTTAATAAATTAATTTATTTATTTTACTAAATTTAATCGACAAAAAACATTCGCCACCACGTGCGATGCACGTGCACTTTACTAGTAGCAATAGAAAAATGCATGTAATGTTACATTTTACCACATACAATATTACCTAGCCCAGGCTCGGTTGTTTAATTCCTAGCCTACATATAATTTTGCAAAAGAAAATCAATTAAATATTTCTTCTTCTTAGCTTTTTATTTATTTGATTAACTATTTTTATGGGATAATTTAATTCGAATTTGTTTCCCAGTTACCTCATACACGACCATGCTGGTAAAAATGAATTACCACATCTGACAAACAAGAATTTTATAACCTTTTTACATTTGTAATTTAAATCAATTGCAATACCCAAATTCCTTTTACACATAATTTCAGAACGCGCTGAACTTAAGTGGTATTTTTGCACGTTTCGTAATATTATGTGTATATATATATATATACATATTTATTATATTTAACCTATTACATCTAAATCTATTTGTTATCTACTTTTTATAATTTGTATAATCATACTTTTCAAATTTTGTGATTTGTCCATATTATTCCTTATGTGTTTTAAATAAAAACATTGCAAATAAAATTAATATTGTATATAAATTAGGGATTTTTAATAATATTGCTAATTCACTTAATTATTATAAATTGTTATATGTCGTTCCTTATTTATTTTTTCCAACTTCAACGAGAATATTTTTTTCGTTTTTTGTTGTACATTGTGTAGTACATGGCTATTAAACTAGTATGACATATGAGTCAAAATTATCAAAATGCCCACTTTTATCATCTATGGAGCTTAATTCATTCTTATTACAACAATTTTATCTTATGGATAATTAAATAAAAGAAGTCATTAATTTGTAGCTTATAGTTATTTGGATGCTTAATTCACACCATGCACTCTTCAATAATGTACTAAGCTGTTAAAAAAAGGTATTTAAATTATATAATTCACACCCTTCATCTAAATTGAAAACAATCTCACAAAGGGCAAGCAAAAAAATTCAAATTATATCTACCCAATTGTTATACATTAAAATTGTTGAGAAACTGATGCAGAAGAAAAATATAAGTATTATTATTATTATTATTATTATTATTATTATTATTATTATTATTATTATTATTATTATTATTATTATTATTATTATTATTATTATTATTATTATTATCATTTAATAAGTAGTAGTAGTTTAGGGAATAAGCTGAGTTTAGGGTTACAGATTTATTTAAAGGACTCTCATCTGTTGTGTTAAGCAGAATTTGATGAATGAAAATAATTGATCGTGTTTTCTTTTTGGAGAGTATCCCGTGTTCTGGAGAGAGTATCTCCTTGTATCTTCCCGTTCGTTCACGCATTCCCCTCCATCAGAAACCAAAACACGATTTATTCGGCCGTACACCAAGAAAAATAAAAGGGCAATGCTATATGTACACCCCCTTTTAATAAATTACACAAAGAAAAGTGCTATATGTACACCCCTTTTTTACACTTGAGGGGGTGTACATATAGACACCCCCAAATAAAAGCGTGTTCAGAAATTTTGGACAGCATAAGGAGCTGCAAAATTAGAAAGCACTGCAAAAAAAACCAAACAAAAGCTACAAAAATAAATGTAAACGTGTAGTCACC